GGCTGCGGTAGGTCCCTGCCATATCCATTTATCTTGACGTTGGGTGGTCTGTTCACGCACACAAACATACACTAACATCCCACGTATGATGAGCGGATGTAGAGAGGAATTTCCTTCTCGTGAGTTATGAACAAAACAGAGGAGCATGTTTGTTTTCCAACACTATGGGCTTTCCAACTGGTCATCGTCGTTCCTCAACCTAAGTTCACTTACTTGAAAGTGATACATGTCAAAGAATGTGGACATTCTTGGTTGGTTAACTTCCGCATCTATCAATATTGTTTAGTTTTGCGTAGAACCAGATGATAGGTTTCGAGGATTTCCATTTTCACAGTCGATACAATCCTGTTTTAATCCATATTTAATTCAGTCCTTTCCAACTTTATTTCCTGCACTGTTCACCTGTTGTCCGTCGGATCGATGAACACAACGGTCAGGTCAAAAGTTGAACTGGTGGCACTAAGTAGATCGTAAATTACTGTCACGAATTAAGCACGATGATTGTGAACTGTTAAAAATCGACCACCATCGTTAGAACATCCCTGATACGGAAGGGGCAAACGTTCATGTTCATGACCTTAGATCATCCCGATTTGAATGCAACTTCAATTGACCACCTGATGTTGTCGGTGGTCCTTTTTTCCGACAGAATGAAACGACTGATCAGCCTGATCAAACCAATTAGTTGAATCCATGGCCTGCTAAAACAGCTATATATATATATACCGCTTTATCGACAGATTAATACCGTTCATTATCTAATTCGGGGAATACTGGTTGTTAGTGTTAAATGTGTGTTAAGTGAGAAAATGAGTATGCCCTTTGACTCAGGATGGTATGGCAGTGAGTGTATGTGGGGGGGGGGGGGTCGATGGCGGAGCTCTTCCAGAGGTGAATTGGCTCCCCGAATTGGACACCAGTTACTTGGAGATCTCGTGTTTTCCAAGCAGTCATCGTAACGCTGCAATGGCAGCGGTTGTTGTTGCACACGAATTTAGAATCAGATCAGACCATTTCCGGTATGCGTGCACTACGATTAGAAACGAGACAGTATCCAATGGGTTTGCATAATCCAAGTGACTGCGAGACCAGGTTTGCCCTGGGTCAGTCCTATGAGGTTTGGCGGCTTTATGGCTTGTTCTCATCGGGAACCTGGGGGTACCATCTACTTGGTTTCTGCATTCAGGTCCGCTTATGGAGCATAACCGCGGGCAATGGCGTTAATTTGGATTGACCGTGGATACTCCATTTCAAAATGGATGAAAAACGAATTACCTTCACCTGTACTGCTTGTTCGATAGGTATGGCTAATGTCACGATGTCCTCGTTGTCCTGACCTTAGGTACTGATCAACTGAAGGAACCATCGACCTGCTCGAAATGATTGGTCTGACGGTACTGAACTTCGTCAACCAGCGATGCGATGCACAGAGTTGCTCTTTTTCGATCCAAATTACGATAGCAGGGTTTTTTGGTAGTTGGAGTTAGCAGGCTGATTCAGCCACTCGGTCCAAGCCGCAATCACCTTAGATTGCGACTGAAACAGACTTTTGAAATCTGGGGCTATAGTGGATATAGTACGCAACATTTATGAAAATACCCCCAGACCATATCTTTTGTAATCCCTACGGAATATGCGGTAACCACGACTCAGGTGGTTGAAGGTTCTCGTGAGATGTGATATCGATCGATCTCAGTCTACGAGACGCCTAGCGATATAATTTCCAAAGTAAAGGAAACACCTTCAGTCNNNNAGGTTGTGTATTTTACCTAATCCAAAGACGCTTTAGACAACAAACTCATTTCTCTATATGCCTTTTTTGATTAAACCATTGATGATCTTGCAATTTAGTTCCAAAGTGTAACCGGTCGAACTGAGTTGGTGCCTGTGATGGTAATTTTTTGGCACAATAAACGGGAAACTGAAATTTAATAAAAGTAAATATAAATATTGTGGAAAATATTCCCCCTCTAGGGAAATGTGGGATTTNCCCCTCCTCCGATCAGTTTCTTATTATCTGCTACTAGGCCTGTTAGTGATTGGAATATAAGGTCAAAAGATGTGGTCAAGTCCAGCTGCCAGAGGACTCTATTTTCGGTGTGGTTATTCAACATGTATCTATCCAATCACACCCGTAATCGCATACGTAATTCCGTCGATTGAAGAAAGGTTTACTAGTTCACTAAGAATCACAGGAAAGCAAGCATGACTTTTGAAACTGATAGCGACATAAGGCGTATGCAGAGTATGTAACTATATCAACTATCGTACTGTGCGATAGGACTGGCTGCTATTTATGAATCAAGAGGTATAACCAAACACTTGATTACGCAAGAACTGTGCGAAAATAGGACCAACGGAACAAAGCACTCCGTAGCTGATGCTGAAATCTTCCGATACCGGTTTGAATTGCCTTACCGGTGGATAAAGCTACGGTATACTGAAACGACCATTGATTAGACCTTGTCTGCATTCGAGCGATCGTGTACCCTATACTGCGCATCGTGATTGTGCACTGTTTCTCGAATGAAAGTTCAGTCTTCAACTTAGTATATGCACATAGTTGTTGTTTCAACATTTTCGAGACAGAAATGGGCTATGGGCGAACACTGTATTGTTGTATTGAGCGCTTCGGTGAAGTATATTTTCATTTTCGCCTCACTCCTATCCCAAATGATGAATGTTTATTCGGATTTCGTCCAGTTTGAAACTCGTTAGCCGTGCGTACTTTTATGTCCCTGTCAGGACTAGAATCGCGAACCTTCGGATTGGGACTTTAAACCCTTACCACTGCACCACACGGTCGACGGCCATCACCTCGGGCGAGTGGTTCAATCAATTTTAAAGTAGCAGGCCTGGATTAGCCCATCCGATTGTTCAGAATCATAAATAAGGCACTCTTGATTGTCTTGCGTAAGGTTTTACTCCTTCGCAATTAAATTTATTCAACTAATGGGGAATTACGTCCTCCCCAAGAAAGATACTCACCTGAGACTATCAGTAGCGTCTTGTGCTTCTGAACGATCGAATGTGCTGATCTAAACTTGGTACCCTAAATTCCTTCGAATTTATTTTCGTAGATAATGTGTTTCCCTACCTATTCGAAACTCGTAGACGCATACGCCCTGGGCAACTCACGATAGCAATTATCGCGCATTGCATTCTCCCTGACTGTTATGACATTACAGATGATACGAATCATTGTTTTATAATAGCCCTGTAGTTTATCTCACTTAGCCTCCACTAGTGCGAAATAGATCGGTTCCGTGGGTTCAGAACCGCGATTGAACGTTTGTTATCGATCTGTTCACGGACGAGCACCTCGTTTTTGCTGGCCAGTGTTTACTTCAAGCCGCCGGTCCGTTTATAAGGATTTGTTTTAACCCGTCAAATGGCGCTGTGTTCCAAAGATAGAAGGCCTGCATGAAATACTAAAATCAAACCGATTTGTGCTTTCTTGCACGACGCATGCATGTGTACATACGTACATCTTTCTCGATAGTTTCAGTTGGTCGCGTATATCGAACGCGGTTTGAAAATCGATCGGTACAAAAATGCCCCATTCTGTCCTTACTCCACCGTTTCATCATCGTCTAAACGTAACCCACATAGATTGAATTTGTTATTCAAAAGTCCTAACAACATGGTCTGTGTTCGTTATTTTTGCGGTTTAGAGATGTGATATGAAAATAGAACACAGAAGATTGATCATAGCAGTGATCCACAACAAAATATGAAGATTGTGCTTGAACAGTCGAATTAATTGTTGATCAATTCGACCATTAAAGTTCACGCATTAATATCGGTTGGGCTGTAGGCCATTAGTTAATGATTGACCGGAATAAAGTGGATTTGAACATATGTATATGTGTAAATTTCTAGCGGACTCATGTGGGTTTTTGCGACGCATTTCGGTCGCTTCCGCTGTGACTGACGAACGATAGTGAAACTACCCTAGTAGTAAATTACAAACCGGTTCAAACTAGGTTTTTTTCACTTTTCTATATTTTATTAATAACGATCCCAAAATTATTCATACTGATCTCATTCTGCTGGTCCCTTCTGATGTTGATAAAACGATAGTTTTTCCTCTCTCTCTCTCTAATGGATTCGACCAATAAAAGATTTCATACAAACGTGGTATAATGGATTCTGTTTTTTTCTCCGTCTCTCTCTCTCTCTCTCTGTCTGACCCGATTCCCTGCATTGGCAAAACATCTCTATTTGTGAATTCCAGTGTTTTTCAGGATTCTTCTATTTTTCCACTTTTTTTCCCGTTTTACATTAGCAATCTTTCTGTTCCTCGGAACTTCGTCACCTGCAAATATGCNGGGTGATCTTATTGAAATAATATCCGTACCATCCTCCGCGTCCTCCGAGATAGCTTGAATGAAAATTTCGCGTGGTCTTTCTTATGCTAAATCTCACCGAGTGTGTCCGTATTCCCATTCATCATTCAATTTGGCTACCGCTATCGCATAATTATCTCCGTCTCTNTACTTACCGAGAATCCTAAAAACATCGCTAAAACCAATGCTCTAAAGTATCTTGACGTCATTCCATTTCACAACCTTTCCTGGTCTTCCGATGTTGTGAATACTTTTTTCAAGGTTTTAAAGGTTATCGTCTTTTTATTTAGACTCGACGAAAAGTTTCTATTCTCCAAAATGGTATCGATCGATTTGTGATTGCGCGTATTTTTCTCCACTGGTTGTGTTTTTGTCCTATATTTTCCCCAGAACTCAAAAAGAATGAGTTTTTTTCTGTTTTTCTTAAGGGATTGTTCTCACCACGGACGTCCGAGTTGATTTTTTCATCGTAAATTTCTTGACCTTTGAAATAAGTGAACTGATAAAATATTCCTATGTGCTGTAAACCATCGTTTGCGTCGGAATTAGGTGAATCTTTCACAAAATTTCAACTGCTACCGGTTCCTACCACAACACTTATAAAAACTGTACCGTTTCTCACTGTGTTGGTTGGTACACAAACTGACAGTTGCCACTGTCAAAGATAAAGTTATGCGCTCGCTTGATTTTCTTTGTTCTCCGGCTGTTTTCCCCGTTCTGACCGCTCTGGACAAAATGTTTTTAAATTCTCTCCACTAAGCTGTTGAATATTCACCCCCTAGGGTGCATTAAGCTTCATCTGCCTCGATCTGACTCTTGCACCGTACTTATTTATTATCGTCTATGTATAATCCAGTTTTTAATCCCTGGGCTTTATCCTTCTCGTGGACGTCATTTGTAATTAATGTGTTTGATGATACCGTACCCTGGTCGAATTCTGTTTCATACCCTATTATTACACTTTCACCGTATGCAAAATCACATGCATTCGAGGTAATCAATCATCTCATTCTTTCCTCCTTCCGCCTCCGAACTCCCCCGCAGGTGACGGAATTAGCTCCACTGGGTAGTCTATTGCTTCATCTCCGTGCTCAATCGGTTTGCGCAGCCAATGCGGCCGCCAGCAATGGGGATTCGAACTCAGCTACTCCGCTATGCCAGGTACCCCGAGCGTTACAAATCGATTCGCTCTGGGATATGGGGGTGCAAATCGCTTGTGGCATGGCCTATTTGAGTTCTCGTGGTCTAGTCCACCGGGACCTTGCTGCACGTAATGTCCTCTTAGCCTCGGTTCGCCGAGGTCAGTATCCCCAGGTGAAAATCGGTGACTTTGGCCTTGTAAGAGCGGTAACCTGTATCACAACTAAGAAACTACCGGAAGAGGATAGTGAGGCTGGTTTGACTTCCTCCCAGCCGGACGCAGTCTATACTGGTCGTGTGGAGCAACGCATTCCGTTTGCATGGTATGTGTATGATATTCCTTGCACGAAAAAAACACGGTTGTGTTTACCTCTAGAAACGCATAGGACAACTGTTTCACCATTTGAAGTTCTATTTTCGTTCCACAATTTCCGTGTTATCTCCCGCATATTTTGAACAATATTATGCGACAGAAAATGACCATTCTGATTACAGATATCGATTTGTATGCCTGACTTTGGCATACAGCGGTGCTCGTGCAGTTGCTCAATTTATGTGGTCTACCCGTCTGTACTCTGTCTCTCTTTCTTTCAGTTACACAACTTAGTGTGAGGATCTGCTGTCCATAGTCATGGAAACCGGTAACCTAAGCCCCTGGACTTGAAGTGGCGAACCGGCCCATAGCATAGCTGCCTACCAACAAAGTTGGGTGGTAGTGGTGGGGTCCGAACCTCCACGCTGCAGAGTCCAAAGCACACCGGTGACAGCGACTGAACCACTGAGTCAACACCACCCGGTCGATCGAACGGGACGTCTAGGAACGGAAACCAAGGTTAAAGGCTAATGACTGTGTAAACTGATTCCTTAAGCCGGAAACACACTGCTGAATAGAAATTCCCCCTTTACCCGAGGAATCTGTGTCAAATGGCACTGGGTGATCACAAATTACAACCCCGTCCGAATACCATCCTGAATCGTTTGTGATGGGAAAGCCGGTAGTTTTGTGTTGACCTTTCGCTACTCGTCAAAAACCACTCACATTTGTCAGTCATTGCAAGAGGGACTTAACAGACGATAACAAAACACATTTTGTCTGGCTGAGCGCATCAGGTCTGAGATCCGGGAAAGCACGAAAGGAATTCGACCGTTTCGTTTTTGAAAAAACGAACAGTAGACCACTTCAACTGAAAAAAAAACACTGCGAAAAGCGTTTCCCCCAGACCGGATTGTTTCAGAGTAGAAGTTAATGACTGCGGTGTAGTTGAAAAATAATCTGAAACACTTGTTTTATTTGTGCACAGTCGCTGCATGCGAGTCAGCCTTATCACGCTCCACAGAAAGTGTGTATGCTATCGCTCGCCCGCGCACGCAGCGAATATCCATTGTGATTGCCTTGGTCTCGGCTGTCAGGTTCATTTTAGTCTGTGCACGGGTTTACCATCATCTTCGGGTGATTATACATAAATAAACGCCCTGTGGAAAATTACATTTGAGATCAGACAGAGTTCCCCTATGGTGTTCGATGCGTTCACAGTTGGTTGTTGATCTCCTAACCTAGCCCCCCTCCCGCTAGATAAAGAATACCAAGCTGCGAGACTATAGTTTCTCAAAGTACCAAACAGCATAGTCCACATTCTCCGAGAAAGTGTCCCCTGGTGTACTGATGCAAAAAACTTTCTGACGTGTTGAATGTTCTTTTCCACAGTTCTCTTCGACACTGCTCCTACCCACCCTAGCTATTTTTCTGTGGCAGTATCCATCTGCATGTACAACGCTCAAAAGCGCCAAATCACACAAAAGACTACAAGTGCTCACTCTGTTCCAAATTTCTCAGTACCTATGTGAGCATACCGGTTCGTAAAGTCTTGATTGCTCTTTCTCACAGATAGATTGCTGGACTCCTCGTCTCCTCCTGAATCCGTCTTTCCGCAGTCCACTTTACCGCGTAACAGCCAACTGACTATGTTATAGAGCAAAGAATATACATTAATAGCCCTTGGTCGTTGCACGGCTGAGATCACTGTCAAACAATTGCATTGGTCTACCGTGATTTCTTCATCGTTGTTGCAGACAGTGCATGCACTAGGAGAAGAGTCATGTGGAATTCCAGATCAAACCCACCGTAACATGGTAACACAAGTTCAAGGGTGAACAACTGTCCTGCCTTTACAGATCAGATAAGCGTTTGTTGTGAATGGGATCACGCTGGGTCGAAAGGTCATTCGGGTTGGGGAGAGAGGGGGGTAGCGGTAAGCCCGGTGTGTCTGTGTTGGGGTGATATCAACTTTGATAGGAGTGTTGGTGGTGGTGGTGGTGATGTTGATCGATTTGGGGCCAGGGTAAGCGGAGAATGTGAACCCGTCGCTTTTGTGCGCATAGCTCTGATACGAAGAGGGGCGAAAGCCTATCGCCAGAGCAGTGACCTGTGTGTATGTGCATAAGTGCACGGCTATCATGTGAATGTCTCCACTAACAACAATCCTTTATATCATCTTTACAGACAGGATTATGAATCATACGAAAACAATTATTCGCCATCGGACTGATGTTCTAATGTTACTTGTGTTCTCATGTGGAACTTTTTGTTGCCTTGACCCTCTCGATCCATATGCGTCCGATCTGGTTGGTTTTAAACGATCAATTTTATCTCTATCACTTTCATGTGTACCAATCAATGAGCTGACTTCTGTCGCTTTAAACTGATCTCACTCAAATACGCTCGATTGTTATCGATGTCCTATACTTTTGCGATAAGTAATGGGTTCCGCGATGCATTCCATTTTATTTGCATTCTCCGATG